AGAGCACTGCCTGGTATGGCCTCAGTGAGAGAAGATACACCTAACCCTTGACAGGGAGTCCTATTAGGGTGGAGGTGGTGGAGTGGGACATTCTCTTGTAGATTGGGGTTGGGGAGGAGGTGACGGAGATATGAGATGGTGAGCAGTCAAGGGTAGACCAGGAGGAGAAGGATGAAGTCTGGACTATAAAAAAAGGATTAAAGAATAAAAAATAAATTAAAGTTAAAAAAATGGAATCCCCATTTGCACCAAGCTCAAGAGAGCTGTCTGGACATTGAGGACCTCAGCAATAGGGCCCAACAACTCTCTTAAAGTTTATTCATTTGTAGTCAGCTTAGTTGCTTGTTTGTTGAGATTCATTTCAATCATAATTGATCCATACCACACACTAAAGGGTGTGCCACTAAGTGATAGAAAGCTTCAGAGCTGTTTGGTCAGGAAACACATACATTTAACTTTACTTACAACTTTTAGAACTAGATACAAGCCTCATGTATGGATTGCTTTGCCTGTTATGTTAAAAAGCTCGGTGTTCATGCTCCAGAACTGTAACAAGACAAAATGAAACTAAAGTGTTTCTCTGTCTAGGTACTAGTAATTTATACTGAACAAATGTGCTCAACTATGTGATTACTTTTTTTCAAAAAGGATGTTTAGAAAAAATGCTACATTTTATTGTCTAACAACAGCTCTAAACTTACATAAACAATTTTCAAACAGATGGTATTTAAACTTAAATATTAAACAAAGGAGAAGCACACATTGTAATAATGTCCTTGACACACATGACTAGAGTCACTGCCATCGTGTTTGAATTTTGCTTATTTCAGCCACTCAGTGATTAAAGTTGTATATTCAGAAATGTCACATGCCACTCCATAATACTTTTTTGCTCTATGGTATTCAAAAAATGTATGATAGGAAGATCAAACTCTCTATCCAAATGTGCACATTATAAAACATAGTAGTTCTTGGTAGAATATATATATATACTTTTTTCTCTCATTAGGATTGAAAATAAAGTGACAACTATATTTTGCAATAGTGTAACAGTCCATGATTCCCTGAAGAATGATACCCTGGACTTAGTGTGTTTTATTCTGCTGAGTGTATTTTTCTGCAGATGTCCGGCATGCTGGGGTCTCCCATTACCAGGATAGAGAGACAACCAAGTGAGCTCACAGACCTGATAGAATATGTAAACTCTTATATTAGTAAAACTACGTGAAAACACTGGGACTCTTAGAAGAGTTATTGTGTGCAATGCACAGAAGTAGAAAGCTAGTGGAACTACTGAGTTAAAGATTAATTTGATTCTTTCTGGCCACTGCCTGGAAACTTTGCCCATGTCACTTATCATTAGGGCTTCACAGGAAAATGCAAGTAGCTGACCACAGAGCTCTGAGCTCTGAATTATAATAAGTTAAAAATTAAAGTTTAAATAATGATAAGGTTACAACAATTATTTTGGCTACAGGCCTGGGAATAGGGAAGCTTGAAACTTTGAGGAACAATTGTAATTCTTAATTTTTTGTAGGATGTGGTTATTCTTTTGAATTTGATTTGGCAATGATTATATAATTTTTTCTATCTGCTTTTGGAGTATGAATAAAAGATTAGGGAAAGAAAAAGGCGAGAGCACGAGAAGAGAATGTGAAGGGTGAGTGAAGAGAGAATGTGAGGTGTGCATGGAGAGTGTGTGTGTGAGTGAAAGGAGAGTGCATGTGGTGTGTGTGAGGTGTGTGTGAGATGGGTGTGAAGAGTGTGTGTGAGAGTGAGAGGAGAACGCACAGAGTTGTGTAGAAGTGTGGGAGTTCAAGAAAAAAGCACACAGGAGAATGCACGGTGTGTGCAGCCTCAGTCTGCGAGCAAACGAGCAAGAAAAAAAGCAGAGAGTGAGAGAGGAGAGAGAGAAACTTTAAGCCTTGAAAAGTAGACTGTCAGCTTGTACTCAAAAAAGTAGTCTGTGTATGTTTGTTATGCTTCTTCCAGATATCCCTGCTTCCAGTTGAGAACTCCAATCCTGTTTCAAGGCTGGACCCTGACACAGCTACAGTTTACTGATAAAAATTACACAGGCTGCAAAAACATTTATTCATGTATTCTCACTGAGCCTCCATTCCTAGAAGCTCTTCACTTCCCACCAGTCACTGACATGCTCTGATATGAAAAATAAAATTCCCCTGTACAAACAAAATAAAAGTAATGACGTATGAAAGTCCAGAGTGCACTTCTCAGAAAAAAATTCCTCCCAGATTCTCTTAAGAACAAAACAAAAATGAAATTTAGAAAGGATCATGCCTAGGACACAAGAACAATGGCAAGACAATGAAAATTTATGGCAAATCTAACATGTGAGCAGCAAACAAGAATAACCTTGAACTTAAATGCTAGGTGATATAGCATATGAAGAAGTGGGAAGCTCTGAGTTCTGAATGAAACACAGCTGAACTGTAGCAATTTCTCTCCCTTGGTCAGCTGATATCTGTAAAGTTAACAATGACCCTACAGAAGAGAGTCAAAAACACCTATACAACAAGGGCATGTCCACATTTCTTGACTGTATTAGAATAGGTACATGACAGAGTCAATACCCATATTCTATACCTGATTACTGAAAATGAAATCATGTTTTATTCTTTTTTTCTTTTTTTCTTGGATATTTTCTTTATTTACATTACAAATGTTATGCCTTTTCCTGGTATCCCCCCACACACACACTCACACACCAGACACTTCTTATCCCATTATCCCAGCCCCTGCTTCTATAAGGGTGGTCCTCCACCCACCCACCCTCATTTCCCCACCCTGGCATTACCCTACACTGAGACATCAAGCCTTCACAGGACCAAGGGCTTCCCTCTCACTGATGTCAGAAAAGGCTATCCTCTGCTACATATTTGACTGGAGCCATGGGTCCCTCCATGTGTACTCTTTGGTTGGTGGTTTAGTCCCTGGGAGCTCTGGGGGAGCTGGTTGGATGACATTATTGTTCTTCCTACGAGGTTGCAAACCCCTTCAGATCCTTCAGTCCTTTCCCTAACTCCTCCATTGGGGATCCCATGCTCAGCACAGTAGTTGGCTGAGAGAATCCCTCTCTGCATTTTCAGGCTCTGGCATAGCCTCTCAGAAGACAGATATATCAGACTCCAGTCACCAAGCACTTCTTGGCATCCACAATAGTGTCTGGGTTTGGTGACTGTATATGGTATCCCCAGGTGGGGCAGTCTCTGGATGGCCTTTCTTTCAGTCTCTGCTCCACACTTTGTCTCCAGATTTCCTCCCATGAGTATTTTGTTCTACCCTCTAAGAAAGACCAAAGCATCCACATGGTTTTCCTTCTTCTTGAGCTTCATGTGGTCTGTGAATTGTATCTTGGGTATTCTGAGCTTTTGGGCTAATATCCACTTATCAGTGAGTGTATATACACCATGTGTGTTCTTTTGTGACTGAGTTACCTCACTCAGGACGATACTTCCTATTTCTAGCTCCATCAGTTTGCCTGTAAATTTCATGAAGTCATTGTTTTTAATAGCTGAGTAATATTCTATTGTGTAAACGTACCTCATTTTCTGTATCCATTCCTCTATTGAAGGACATCTGGATCCTTTCCAGCTTCTGGCTATTATATATAAGGCTTCTATAAACATAGTGGAGCATGTGTCCTGGTTATATGTTGGGGCATCTTCTGGGTATATGCCCAGGAGTGTAATACTATGTCCAATTTTCTGAAGAACCACCAGACTGATTTCCAGACTGGTTGTATCTGCTTACAAATCCACAAAAAATGGAGGAGTATTTATCTTTCTCCACATTCTTGCCGAATCTGCTGTCACCTGAGTTTTGATCTTAGCCATTCTGACTGGTGTGAGGTGGAATCTCAGGATTGTTTTGATTTGCATTTTCCTGATGAGTAAGGATGTTGAATATTTCTTTAGGTGACTCTCAGTCATTCCTCAGTTGGGAATTCTCTGTTTAGCTTTGTTCCCCATTTTTTAAATAGGGTTATTTGACTCTCTGGAGTCTAACTAGTTCCTTGTATATATTGGATATTAGCCCTCTATCGGATGGAAGATTGGTAAAAATCTTTTCCCAATCTGTTAGTTGTCATTTTGTCCTATTGACAGTGTCCTTTGCCTTACAGAAGCTTTGCAATTTTATGAGGTACCATTTGTCTATTGTTGATCTTAGAGCATAAGCCATTGGTGTTCTGTTCAGAAAATTTCCCCTGTGCTCTTCACCACTTTCTCTTCTATTAGTTTCAGCGTATCTGGTTTTATGTGGAGGTCCTTGATCCACTTGGACTTTGAGCTATGTACAAGAAGATAAGAATGGATCAATTTTCGTTCTTCTACATGTCTGCCAGTTGAACCAGCACCATTTGTTGAAAATGCTGTCTTTTTCCCCCTGGATGGTTTTAGATCCTTTGTCAAAGATCAAGTGACCATAGGTATGTAGGTTCATTTCTGGGTCTTCAATTCTATTCCACTGATCTACCTGCCTGTCTCTGTACCAATACCATACAGTTTTTTATCATTATTGCTCTGTTATTCAGTTTGAGGTCAGAGATGGTGATTTTTTTTGTTGTTGTTGTTGTTGAGAATAGTTTTAACTATCTTGGGGACAGCCATTGTAGCCAAGAACTTTCAACAACTACAAATGCTTGCACTGGGCCTGCAGAAGGCTAGGACCAGCAACAGCTGGGAATGGGTCTAGGAGAGCCCATGGGGCCTCATTGCAAAACCCAGAAAGAGGCAAGTAGGGGACAGAGAAGCTTGGTGGGGCAAGAGGGATATAAGAGAGATAGGGTGACCAGAAATTAGTCATATGCATGTATGACGTTGTCCAAGGACTAACATAATAAGATAAAAGAAATACGTGTACTTAGAATGTAACTTTCTATGGTGAAAGTGTGTTAATCTGCTTATAGTAGGTATTTCATTAAGTATACATTATTAAAGGATCACTTAGGTGCATACAATCGATAGAACTAAACAGAAAAATGTCCAACAATATTTGTATTTATTAAACTAAGCTGCAGGCATTTTTAAAACTCTCCAAGGAAAACTATCAGTATCAGTTCTGTTTATCTGTTCATCCACTTGTAGGCTGGAAGTGTTTGGATCTCAGGAACCACTCTGAACAAAAACAAGAACTTGAGGTCCAATGTAGTGACAAGTTCTAGGGCTATTAGCACATCCTTCCCAAGCCATCAAGGTGGACTGCCCTTTCTGTTGGCCACACTGAACAAGGAATTATTCTAACTACCCTGGATGTTCTGGTACTTCAACTCCTTTGTTGGTCCTTTCCTGTATTCCAACAATGTATCCTGGGAGAGAGACTCCAAATGGCAGTACCTCTGCAGGCTCCCTCTAGTGGTAACAACAAATATCACACAAATGTTAAATTGCCAATGCCAGAATGTGCCCAGAGTAGTGAGTGTCAGGATCACTCGAGGGCTTGGGTTTAGGTTATACTCTTCCCAACAGTTAAACTTTTGATGTTTACATTTGTGAGAACTCTGAAAATTAACCTACAATTATACAACTTATAATAAAACAAACTGTTACCTAGACATTTCCTTAAACAAGACCAAATTGATTAAATCAACTATGTAGGAATATTAAGGTAGGCATGGGCATATGTAATGAAAAATGGAGGATAACAAACTGTCCTGGACTAGCGTTTTTAGAGGAAGCTCATTTATCAACATATTTTCCAGAATTACACTGTACAGTTTCTTTCGTAATCTACAAGTATCATGAGCTGGGTTCTCTGCGACTGTGCCTTTGTGGCAAGGCCCAAGCGTCTCTTGCTGTGGCTCCCTCCAATGACATGCTGTCCATGCGCTCTAACTCTCCTCGGTAGAGCTGCTTAGTTACTTCCAGCTCCTTTTTAACCAAGCATTCCTGGGTATTCACTTCTGCAATGGCAGATTCAATACTTTTCATTTCGAGCTCCATCTGAGTTAGGTACGAGACATTTGGGCTCTCATGAGTGCACATGAAGTTTTCTGCAGTTGCTGCTTCTCCCTGAGACAAATGAAAATGATGCGTTAAAATCTGAATCAAATGACCCCGTGCTGTGTCAAATACACATTTTCCATCAGTAACTCAGAAAACTATTTAAATGCATGAAAAAAGAATTCTATAATTTTGAATATTTGAAATCAGTAGCAACTCCCACAGTGTTTTATACTCATAGGGACTGGAGAGATGGCTCAGTGGTTAAGAGTACTTTCTGCTGTCCTAGAGGACCATTTGGTTCACAGTATTTGGTCAGGCAGCTCATAATTCCTGTAAGTTTGATTCCAGAGGTTACAACACCCTATTCTGGCCTCAGTGGGTGCCACCCCTCACTTGCATGTGAAATGCTATGGTTCTGGCCTCAGTGAGTGCCACGCCTCACTTGCATGTCAAGTACTGAGGTTAGGAAGCAGGTCCTGGCATGTGCTAGGATGCTCCTCCCCCTCAGCCACAGCCTCAGCTCTGATTTACACTTGTGTTAGCAGTCATGTAATATGGCAATACAAAAATCTTATAGAACGTGTTTGAAAATTTTCATAGTGAACAGTGTAACTTAAGACCGAGGTACAAGAGTGATAGTCCCTAGACCTAGAACAGTGTAACTTAAGACAGAGTTACGAAAGTGATAGTGCCCAGGCCTAGAAAAACCAAAGGGGATGAGGATTTCAAGGCCAGTGGAAAGATCATGAAGACTGGTAGAGCAGGGGCTCAGCTAGGGGCAGCCTGGAGTGGAAGCAATGTGAGAAGTGAGAACCAAGGAGAGATGACACATGGAGGAGCCAGCACATGCTGGCAGGAGCATACACTGGCTCTAAACACTTACTTCCAATCTATAACCACCGCACAAGTAACATCACCACAACATTCTAAAATCTTCATCTTCTGAGATGGCATCAAATCCAGGTTGCTGCTGAAAACATGTGGTGTGGACCAGCCTTGACTATGACTACGTGCTAAGACTTTAGAAACATGTAAACTGGTACTGTAGTTCCCATAAACTTTTGTAACCATAAAGTTACGAAAAGCCTTAGAGGCGTTGCTTGGGTACAATGTCCCAGGCATTTCAAGATGAGAAGCTTTATCTCAGAGATATTTTCAAAAGTAGATTCTTATAGTGTTATAAATCCCATTAAAATCCAGAGACTAATAAAGTCTCTTAAGAGAAATGAAGAAACAACAAAATATTGCTCATTCACTTGGATTAATCATAACCAAAACAGTTTCAAATAAATGTGTGTGACAGGTTAGGAGAATGTAGTGTCTGGGTCATGACAGCTTGTCGTCTGAGCTTTGAAGTCTCCACACAGAGAGAAATTGTTTCAAAGGGCAATACTCTAGTTACCTCATCCGGAGGACCTCTGACCAAATAATGCTGATAAGAGCTGGTGTTTCAAGTTAGCACGAAGTCTGACAACCAGACAATGGCAGGTACTGACAGTTTTGATTGGGAGATGTAAGCTGTTGCAGACAGAGCAGAGTATGCTGGCTTTGGACAGGCCATCCCTTCATGGTCACTCCACAGAGAAGGGTGACAGAGTCTGATAAAGGGATTAATGTGACTTCCAACATTAAGTTAGAAAACTATCTCAGGATGCTTCCCTGAGAAACCATCCCACCCTGTGAGTCACTAAGCTACAGAGCTAGACCAGTAGCTAGGTGTTCCAGTGTGGGGTGGGGGAAGGGTTCCAACTGCCACCTCAAGTGACATGCCAGCTCAGGTGTTCCAGTACAGGAGTTCCAGCTGTCTCTCAAGCCAAAATAGTAGCCCAGGATAGCAGCAATATCCACAGTAACTAGAGATCACCCAGCACCCTAGGCATCAAGCTGTCCCAACCTCAGCTAAGAGGCATAAGAGACAATGTGTTTCAAAGTTTCCCCAAACCACAGATTCAGAAAGGAAATAAATCTCTGAAGCTATTAAACTGAGTGATCTAAAAGGAAAAGGGTGAAAGATTGGTTTGCAAAAGACTCATTAAGAGAGCCACTTTCACAACAGAAGTTGGTGTTCCTTAAAGAATATCCTGGGACATGGTGGGGGGGGGCTGACTGAACACCATTGGCAACGCTAATGGGAAGCCACAAAACACTCTACAGCTATGCGGAAGGTTATGCATAGCATCTTTCTACTGTAAATTCTTACAGTGATGCCAATGTGTCCGGAATTTCCCCTCAAATTGGGGAATATGGAAAAGGGCAAAGATGAGGATAGTTTAATTATGCATGTACTAACAGCTACTAGATTCTGTAATTTGTGCAGTTATGTTTCATGGCATGTTGACTATGACCCAATGATTTCCTACTTGCAAATCTGAGTACTGTCATGGTGTGTACTGCTTACATCTATCCACAAGCCAGTTTTAAGATGAGAAAATGAATCCAGTATTTCCCTGATGTCATTCATCTATACTATAGTTCAATCTTCATGGGCTATTGGAAGTTTTCAGACATTCGTTTTTCCCTAGGTTAAGTGATTTTGATCCCACAACTTAATCACCTCAAGCCTTCGCATGGCAACTGGAACACCCATTTCAGCTTGACTGACTTTTGAAACCTCACGAAAACTATGTCCTCTGCCTTCATGCCCATGCCCTTCCTGTGGGGGCATGTTAAAGATCTTCTTCATTCTGCAAAAAAGCAAAGGAAGAGAGGGTTTTTGTTGTTGGTGGTGGGCTTTTTAAAATATTAATATACCCTATTATATGTAGGAAGCATCTGTAAATCACAATCCTGTCTCAAAGAAACTTTATTCGAAACTGCTAGGATTATCTTATAATCGTAGACAGCTGATGTCTTAGGGTTACCATTGATTTGATGAAACACTATGAATAGAAGCAACTCTGGAAGGAAAGGGTTGATTTTGCATGTGTATCCTGAATCACAGTCCATCAGGGAAGCCAAGACAGGAATTCAAACAGGGCAGGAATCTGGAGGCAGAAGCTGATGCAGAAACCATAAACAGGATCTCTTACTGGCTTGCTCCTCCTGGCTTGCTCAGTCTGCTTTTTCATAGAACCCAGGATCACCAGCCCATGGATGGCCCAACCACAATGAACTGGGTCCTCCCCCATCAATCACTAATTAAGAAACTACCCTACAGGCTTTATCTGCTACAACTGGATCTTATAGAAGCATTTTTTCACTAGAGGTTCCATCCTCTTAGCTTGTGTCAAGTTGATATAAGACTGACCAGAAGAATTGATATGCATGGCAGACAAATAGTTAATGCTATAACTATATATGGAATTCTATAATGATTAGTATCAATTTCAGTATGTTAACATATACTTTAACTTAATATTAAATATTAGCTACAATCTAGAAGTCAGTGGCCAAGGCAAAGAAGATAAGAATAGTTCTATGTAATGTTTTCAAAATATGCCTTGGTAACAATAGGAAAAAAGGTGATAAATTCTGGAGTGGATGTGACGAAGGAACCACTCCCTCACTGCTGGTGAGAGCGCAAACTTGTACACCATTAATGCAATCAAGATGGATATTAGATCCAGAACATTAGAAATAGAACTACCTTATGACCCAACTATACACAGACCCCAATGAACCTATATCCTAGAACAGAGACACATGACCATCCATGTGCATTCTGCTCTATACACAATAGCTAGGATATGGGAAGCACCTGGACACCCAGCCGGGGGTCACTTGGATAATAAAAATGTGCTACCTATACACAATGGAATTTGACTCCACTATAAAGAAAAATGAACATTTAGGAAAATGGGTGGGAATGGAAATAATAATTCTGAATGAAGTGACTCAGACCCAGAAAGCTCAGTGTTGCATGTTCTCACTCATACCTGGATGCTCTGACTCTGTAGATATGTGTGTTTACGTTGGAGTACCCACAGAAGGAAGAAACTCGTTGAGGGCTGTGAGTGTAGGGATCTCAGGGAAAGGATGTGAAACACAGGCAATAGGGAGCAGAGAAGAGCAATGATGGAGTAGGAAAGGTTAAGTGGAGTGGGGGATGTGAGGAATGATAAACTGTAGATTTCTGAAAATGACAAAAGAAAACCTACATAGAAGCTTCATAAAATATATGCAAACACTATATAAAGGCATTTACATAGAGTTACACTATAATATAGAACACTCCCTCTTCCAGATACCCCAGGCTATCTAGTCAAACCCAACACCAGGTGAAGGTTATCCCTTTCTTAAGTGTTGATCAGTGGACTGCCATAGTCTCTCCACAAACACTTCATTTCGTTGCCACTGTCCTTAGTTACCACTGTCCTTAGTTAACCTCCAGACCTTGATAAGAAGACCTGCTGCTGAAGACACCATTTCCTTGTTTCATAGGACATGGAGAAATCAAGCTACTCCCAATTTTCCTGCAAACTTCTCACCTATCAGCTATCGTTCATGGTGCTGGAAGTATTCTTGCTACCAGAAGCAATCTTACAGGGCTGTGACTCCCAAGAGTCACAAGTCTTACAGGGCTGTGACTCCCAAGAGCTACAATAAAGACTGGTCTGGCATAAATGTCCACTGGTAAAGCAGCACCGTGAATGTTGTGGGTGGAAACAGGCCCTTTCTGATTGGATTTAAATCCTACACTGCAAAACCAAACTCATCCCTGGTACTGTTAACTGGGCCCACACCTATGGCTGGCTAGGCTAGGAGAAAACTAAGTAATATTGATATGATAACTGGACATAGTTCTACAATTCATGTTGTTAGCTTCACACCCAGAGAGTAACACATCTCTCAGCCCTCATCAGAGAAGCTTCTTTTTGCAGTAGATGGTGATTTACACAGTGACTTACACTGGCCAAGATGCAGAAAATGAAGACTGGGAGCACTCAGCTACAACTGGGACCTATATCACCACACTATCCCTTTCCAAAGGCTTGGGGACCATTGTCAAAGTCGGGGAAGGAAGATGGAAAGAGCAGTAAGTAGTGGACATCTGTGTGAAGCAAAATTATTTTCTGGACATGATAGGACTGCTGCACACATGAACGTAAAGCAGCCTTACTACGTGCACAATACCTGCACAAGATCAAACCAGTAGGAATCCCAGAAAGAGTGGGAGAAGTAGCTTCCCAGTTAGTGCTTCAGTTGCTGTGCTGAAACACCATGACCAAAAGCAAGTTGGGGAGGAAAGGGATTTTTGAACTTACACTTCCCTGAAGTAGTCCATCAGTGAAGGAAGTCAGGACAGGAACTCAAACAGGGCAGGAACCTGGAGGCAGGAGCTGATGTAAAGGCCATGGAGAGGTGCTGCTTACTGACTTTGCTCAGCCTCCTTTTTTTATAGAGCCCAGGACCACCATCCCAGGGTAGCCCTCCCTCATCAACCATGAATAAAATGTCCTACAAGCTTGCCTACATCCTGATCTTATGGATGCACTTTCTTAATTGAGGTTTCCTCCTCTTAAATGACTTTAGCTTGTGTCAAGTTGACATAAAACTATCCAGCACAGGACCTCAGAAACTTTTACCCTGAGATGAGGAGCTATTGGCAATTAATTGGCAGGGTGGTGGTGGTGGTGGTGGTGGAAATCTTTAGCGAGGTGGTCCTTGGAGGACTATCCATACTCCAATAGATGGTCCTATATCCATTCCCACATTCCCACACAGGCAGAAACAAGAGACTTGATGCATTTTTTTTTAAAGCACATAAAGTTTGGAGGAAAGTCGTGTAGAAGGCACAGAGGAGAAACTGGAGGAGAAGATAGGGAGGTGGATTTGATCAAAATACATAATTTATTCTGAAACAGTGAAAAATTAATAAAATAACAACAATCACTTTGTGTGATATAATTGTAGCATACGTTTCTCTTTCTGTACTAGCTATCAATAATGAAAATTCATGTGAAACAAACCTGGCCCACTTTTATTTTAAATCAAGTTATTATTAGGATAAGATCAAAGAAATGGATGATAAAAATCCATGGAAATAAAAGTTCAAGGCAGATGAAGAAGAGTGCAGTTGATATTATTCTGACTACTTTTTAAATGATTAAATAGTAATATTTTGATAGACAGCCAAAATTGTTAGGATGAAGTTTGAATGTTTAAAGCTCACATTACAATACTGAACTTTCAGAGTGAGTTTGTATTCAGGGTTCCATGCAGTTACAGTTAAGCCAAATAATGGTTGAATAAAGGCTTACTCGGCTAGCTCTTTTTGTAGCTTTTTAGTCCTCCTGGTTTCTTGATGCAGAGCACAGAGTAGAGAACGGACCGAGCTGATCAGTTCAAGATGAGCTTTCTCCTTATCCTGAGACTTCGGAAAGAAGTTAGTAGAAGGTTACTTTTTAAGTAAAAAGATTTGTACATCTTTCTTAAAATACTTCAGGACTCCTGTACCCGACTTGTGCCCATTTTGTAGCACTTGTTGTGGGTGCAGAGTTTAACGAGGCTGGTCTTTGTCCATCTATCATAAGTAGTAACACAGATGACCAGCAGTACTTACTGAAATGAGAGGTCAAGGGTCATGTTTTCTTAATTATAAACTTTCTCTTCTCCTTATGTGCATCACTGTGACCTTCTCCTACCAAAGCATAAGCCAACTAAATAACTCAAGAGCTTACCCAAGTTAAGCACCGAGTAATGTCAGAAAATTAAATCCCAAAGGAAGTATGATTACACAACTCACCCAGCTCCTAGGATTTTCCATGCATTCACAGCTGGCTTCTGGGCATTGGGAGGGCTGGAGCACATTTCCTTGTGGCCCCATGGTGCTACTTGTTAGATATGGACCTTGAGGGCACTCAGGGTGGGGCCCTACAAGAGCCACCATTGAAGAGGTCTTCCACCGCATTTCCCCCTCGGGATTTGAACATGACCGCTCTGGACACTTGCAAGTCCTGCACAGATGGAAAGAATGTTGCCATGGAGTATGTCTCATGCTCCCCTAAGTGACTGCAGGGTTCCTACATGACCTGCATCTCAGAGAGTGGCAGCATCCGAGTAAAATGGCTCATTAACTCTGAAGCTGACAGGACACAGACTGCATACAATTATAGGCTTAGGATCAGTGCCAAGACACACAGTGAGGTGTGGAAGCATATTTCCATAATCCTAGCACTTAGGATGCTGAGGCAGGAGGATTATGACTTTAAGGACAGACTATGAATTCCAGCCTAGCCTCATCTACAGAGTAGAGCTTGTCTCAAAAGACAACAATGGAAACTTTGAACCAACTAGTGAATCTAACAGTATAGGACAGATTAACGATATGTGGCTTAACAGGTAAAGCTAAGGCCTATGGAAGGAACCTACTTTGATTTTTTTATTGCACCTCTAAAGATTTACATTTTTAAAGGGTAACTCTGTAAGTTAAAGGCATACTTGATAGTTATAGTAATTCAATTGCATATTAACATATTTAAATATTATACTATACTACTAAATGCATACTATCAGTAAAAGGTTAAGAATACCTGAGCCAGAAGTGGTGGTGCAGGCCTTTAATCCCAACACTTGGAAGGCAGAGGCACAAGGATCTCTGTGAGTTCTAGGCCAGCTGGGTCTTTCTTGATCAAAGCACTTAAAGCAGAAAGCCCATTCTAAATGTAGGTGGAACCTTCTGGTGCAGTCCAGACTGCAGGACACAGAAGACAAAAACTTCTCTTTTTGCCTATTTCCCCTCACTCCTGCAGGCAATTCATCTAATATGTTGCAGCAATATTAGAATCTTCTTCACCAATATTAGAACCAATTTCTTCAGGCTTCCAACACAGACTAAAGACCAGCAGCTCTCCAGGAATCCTTAAGTGCCAAACTCAGAGTGCTAAGACATCCAGTCTCATGGACTGAGAAGATACTGGATTCTTAACCTCTCCGACATGAGACCACCATTATTAAACTATGCAGACTGCAGCCTGTAGGCCAGTCTAATAAATCTTCTGTGTGCGTGTGTGTGTTCACATGCCCTTTGTGTGTAACATGTGACTGTACATGCACGTACATATATATTCACACAGTTTTGTTCCTTTAGAGAATGCTGACTTGTGCTTGTATTATGCTTGTATTCAGCAAAACACTTAAGTGATTAAAAGAAAAAATATCCTGAAGACTTCCAGGTAAGATGGAAGACAAGAAGTTACACCTGAACAATTGTCTGATAATGATTTTGGAAAACTCAGTGAAAGGGAGTTTCCTATCACCCATTAAGTTACTTCTCCAGCTTGGCAATTGACTTGATCAGCCCCCCAACAAACCCTTCTACCCCTAAGCCCCGAGGTTTCCCTCCCACTGAACTGCATCTGCTACTACAACTGTGACCAATGAGTCCAGATTCCTACCAGGAAACCTAAACAGATGTGCGAGGAGGAATCCCGCAGGAGAACTCCCAGCAGCTCTGTCAGGGCCACCATCAGCACCCTAGAAGGGTTAGCATAAGCTCTACACGGTGCTTAGAGTACTATGTACCTCCCAGGCCTGTGAGCATGCAGCATTGGTGGCTGAGTGAAGTCTGCCTCAGCTCTCCACAGTCCACAGGGCAATCAAGAAAATTCCACATACAAGAAGAACTGGAATCGCACAAGAAAACAGGACTGGGTAAAGTCAGCATCAGATAAAGCCTAGTCTAGGACCTGACAGATGCAGCAGGAGGTCCACCAAGGAGAGGAAAACTACATTCAAGCTTCTGCTCCCCTTTTCTCATGTTTCCACCCAGCTCTCCTCCCTCTCCTACAGCCACTTCTTACCAGGATGCTACGGTAGATTGTAGCAAGCAAACATTGTCCTCGCCTGTTCATGCCTCCCCATCCCTGAGCATGCATATGCTTGTGTGTCTGTGTGTGTGTGTGTGTGTGTGTGTGTGTGTATTCTTTTTCATTTTTCCTTCTTTTCTCTTTTTCCATACCTTTTCTTCTTGCTATTCCATCTCCCAAAGCTTAGGGGCTGGCCTGGTTTATATTATGTCATTATTATACTATTTTCAATTTTAGTTTACTACACTTTTACTTTATTACTGTGTCATGTTATATAGAGAGGGTACACACCTTTACCCTCTCAGTGTAGTCTCCGGTTAACTATATATTCAACCCACTTTTCCCTTTGCCTCGATTACTCCCATTCCTGTGTGCATCCTATCCTCTATCTCCCAGCTAATGTGGCATGAGACCAGTCACTAGTGTCACTGTGACTGCCCAGCTAACATGGCATGAGACCAGTCACTAGTATCACTGTGACTGCCCAGCTAACATGGCATGAGACCAGTCACTAGTGTCACTGTGACTGCCCACCTTTTCTTTCTTCTTCCTTTTAATTAATTCTAACATATTAACATACACTGGCCTACCTGTGTCCCTTGACTCCCTAAACCCATCAAGACATAACACGTATCTGTTTCTGTAGCCTTCTGCAGAGGGGGCTAACTACCGGATAGTGACTGTGGCTACAGAGAACACTCAATCATCAATCCAATAAACAAATACAACCTAGATTCTGCTGAACACTGCAAACAAATCCACTGAAAGAGGAGAGGCAGTCTGAATTAATAACAAAAAGAAAGAAAGGAACAAAGAAAAGAAGGAAGAGAAGAGAAAAGAGAAGAAAAGAAAAGAGAAGAAAATAAAAAAAAAGAAATCTTTACTAGTGCTCTAACCCCAAATGGGCAGATCACCAGGGCAAAACCACAAATAACATGAAAAACCAAGATGAATAATTTCTTCCAAAAGTTACCAGTCTTGGGCTGCAAAGATGGCTCAGAGAGCACATTTTGCATATGTAAATGAATAAAATTCAATTTACCACATAAATATATCCAAGGACAGAGAAGACATGATCATCTTATTAAAGTTCATCCACAAAATCTAACATTACTTTATGATAAAAAGCCTTGAGAGGCTATGAATGGAGAAAACATATGCAAAAAAAAAAAAAAAGGCTAAGCATGGCAAACCAGGAGCCACAATCCTAGTGAGTGGAGAAAAGCATGAAGCACTCCCACAAGATCAGAATAAGACAAAGCTGTGGGTGTCTGCTTTTGTCTCTCTTGTTCGAAAGCACTTGAAATCTTAGCTGGAACAACAGGACATGGGAAGGAAGTAAGAGGGACACACACACAGGAAAGGAAGCTGTCAAGGTATTGCTGTTTGCAGATGACATGATTCTATGCATGACAGTCCCTAAAGAATCCCCCAGGAAACTTCTCAAGCTAATGAACACTTTCAGCAATGTGGCATGTTATAAAATTAACATCAGTAGTTGCCCCACACACTGAAGCCAAAAAAAAAAAAACTGAGAAAGAAATCACAAAAAGAATCCCATTCACACTAGCACTGAGAAATCAAGTTGGTACTGACCAGGAAGCTTCTGCCCCATATAGTACCTACACAGGTTGATGGGGAAGAAGATCCATCAACTGCCTTACCCAGCTCTGAATCCTGCAAGCTACAGTAATGACCAGTACGGAGGGTAACCAAACACTTTCTGATTAGATATAGGTATACTTCACAAGAGGAAACAAATATGAAGTATTATGAATCTGGTCAAGAACCAATGGTTGGAGAGCTCATAGGCCTCAAGGGGTAAAACTCCTACTATTATTTTGCTAAGTGAACATGGTGTCAAATTTCCCTCTAAATTAGTAAAGATTAGTGCAACTCTGAGACCTCACTGGAGAAATTTCTATGTTCAGTAGACAGTGGTTAATGTAGAAATTCTCAACTGGCCAAAGTAGTAGAGATGACAAGTCAATGGAGTGTTAAGCCACAAATGGGACTCCTTTTATCAATCTCTACCCACAAGGCTCAGAGAACATTACAGAACACATGACACAAGAACCAAAGGGCAATGGAGATTAAGGGAAACTGTCTTCTAGGCATGACAGGATTGTGTTGGGAGCCGCGACGAGAGCTGACAAAGTCCGCCATCGCTAGGTG